GTCTGCAGCATTTAACAGCTTGTTATGGGATTGCATGGAGGAGAGCTGCTTCACCAGGTACACTGCCATGGAATAGTTCTGGAAAACACCACAAATCGTCAGGGAAAACCCCAAAAACATCAGAGAAAATACCAAAAACAGAGAAATCCCTGTCTGCAGTACATAACATTTTGTTATGGGATTGCATGGAGGAGAGCTGCTTCACCAGGTACACTGCCATGGAACAGTTCTGGAAAACACCACATAATGTCAGAGAAAATTCCAAAAATATCAGGGAAAACAGCAAAAACATCAGGGACAATCCTGTCTGCAGCATTTAACAGTGTGTTATGGGATTGCATGGAGGAGAGCTGCTTCACCAGGTACACTGCCATGGATAGTCCTGGAAAACAGCACAAAATGTCAGAGAAAACTCAAAAACAGCCAAGAAAATACCAAAGACATCCACAAAATCTCCAAAAATATCGGCAAAAACCCCAAAAATATCAGGGAAAACCCTGTCTGCAGCACATAACATTTTGTTATGGCATTGCAGGGCACTGCTGAGGAGAGCTGCTTCACCAGGCACACTGCCATGGAATAGTTCTGGAAAACACCACAAAATATCAGAGAAAACCCCAAAAACATTGGGGAAAACCCCAAAAACATCAGAGAAAATCCCAAAAACATCAGGGACAATCCTGTCTGCAGCAATTAACAGTTTGTTACGGGATTGCAGGGCACCGTGGAGGAGAGCTGCTTCAAATTTTATATTGATAATTCTCAGTACACTTGTATCAGTACACTGAATTTTATATGGACAACGTTCAGCATTATGCTTGTGTCAGTATATTTAATTTTATATGGATCATGTCCAGCACTACACTGGTGTCACTGTATTTAATTTTATATTGATAATATTCAGCACTGCACTTGTGTCAGTGGTTTAATTTTACATGGACAGTTTTCAGCACTGCACTTGTGTCAGTATATTTAATTTTACACAGACAATGTTCAGCACTGCACTGGTGTCACTGTATTTAATTTTATATTGATAATATTCAGCACTGCACTTGTGTCAGTGGTTTAATTTTACATGGACAATGTTCAGCACTGCACTTGTGTCAGTATATTTAATTTTACACAGACAATGTTCAGCACTGCACTTGTGTCAGTGGTTTAATTTTACACAGACAATGTTCAGCACTGCACTGGTGTCAGTATATTTAATTTTACATGGACAATGTTCAGCACTGCACTTGTGTCAGTGTATTTAATTTTACACAGACAATGTTCAGCACTGCACTGGTGTCAGTGCATTTAAGGAAAGCTGTCAGGTCAAATATGATCAGAAGTTTTTCTTTTTTTCAATAAAAGCCTATTTTGTTTTCAAAACAGGAAAAGGAGCAGCGATGCCTTTTCCCAAGATGCATCTCCTGCAATATCTGGAAGCATTGCCATCTTTTTCTTCTGTTCCTGCACTCAATTGTCCCTGAAATGTGAATTTCATCACCAAAGCAGCTCAGAGCAGAACCCAACTCAGGTGAACCTTCCCTCATGGAATGAACTCTTCCTGCCATGGAGCCCAAATTCCTGGGATTTCTGAAGCTCTCATTTCTCTTATAATCTCCAGAAAAATCAGGTTATAAATGTCTTTCTAAAAATGTGACTCAGCAGTAACACCTCTCATCCCCCAGAATGGAAAGGACCAAATCTCACATTAGGGTACATCAATTATTTTTTGATTTGAACATTGGCTAAACCTGGAGCTGCATTCATACAATTTAAATTGAAAAATAAAAGGCTTCCCTCAGCAAGTGCCACACGTTTCCACTTTAAAAAAATCCCTGCAATTGTGACATCTCCCATCCTTTATTTAGGATCTGAAGGCAGGCTCTCAGTGATATATCTCACCACAAAATCACACCAATTGGAGCAGCATCAGAAACACCACATTTTAAATATTTTATTCTCACAATGAACGCTTCTCACATCGTTAAAAACCACTACTGCCTTAACTTGTTTGTTTAATGCCTCAATTAGGAGAGGAGTTAGAAAAATGCTAATTAACGCTGTGAAATTATTTACCGACAGCTTGAATCTACAAAGGCAGGAACTTGCCCAAGGCATCTTGTGCAGAAGGCTCTTGAAACAGATTGTGTAAAAATCACACTGAGGGCTCCAGCAAAGGTAGGGAGCACAGTTGGGACCAGAACTGACTCTTGAGGGAAGGGGGAGAGGGAAACTCAGATTTTGTGCTACACAGGAACAGCCAAATATAAAATAATTCCTCACATTTCACTGTCAAAGTCTCAAAGAATCAAATCAGGAAAGGTTGTGTCTTAAAGAATCTATTTAGTAAGGGTTGTGTTAAAGACTCAAATTAGGAAGGGTTGTGTCTTAAGGAATCTATTTAGTAAGGACTGTGTCTTAAGGAATCTGTTTAGGAGGGATTGTTCTTTATAGAATTCCAGGATGGTCTGGGTTGGAAAGGATCTTAAATCCCATCCCATTCCACCCAGGGACACCTTCCCTGTCCCAGGCTGCTCCAACCCTGTCCTACAATTCTGGATCTAATGCTTATTTATGCCACAAGTTCCCCAAAATCTTCTTTATAACTGATTAATCTGTGAAACCTGAGAACCAGCCAGCTCCCAGGGGACTGACTCAAACTTGGGGCACTTCTTGTCCCTAAATCCTGAATTGTGAATCCCTCAGAGCAGCATCTGGGACCCACCCACCTGCAGCTCAGCATGCAAACCGGGAACTGCTTCCTTCTGATACCTGCATTAGATATCTCATTAAATAAAAGAGGATTTTTTTGGAGCAGAATCAGCCAGCCATCATCTGAATGGAGATTGTTTTCTGCTCCACAAGAAATCCACCCCGAAATCCCCACCCTGGTGTTTCAGAGCTGCCCATTCATTGTCCCTGACTGGAGTGTAAGCATTTTTCCACGCTGGGCTTTGCACGCTGACAAATTCTTGGCCAAAGTTTCACCTCAGGACAATTCTGGGCACTTCTAAAAACAGGCTGGGGGCAGTGGCAGCAGCACAGGGTGCCTCTGGAATGCCCACCCAGCAGCTTTGGTGCCAGCACTGAAAGCAGCTCAGTAATTCATGGCTGATTTACTGCAGCCACTTTGTGCAGCATGTTCCAGATTTCATCAGCGATTTTCTGACACCGCTTGTGACCTCCTCCCCACAGACACAAAAATGATTAAAAAATGAGGTTTTCAATGTAGAGGATAAGGAGAGCAGCTGGGAGAAATGCAGAGAAGGTCAATGGGATCAGCTGGGCTGGGCTGTGTCCACACTCACAGCTCCAAAGGGCCGCTCGGGGCTCGATGGCACCCGCGCTCCTTGCAAGTCCAAGCCAAGCTTTGCCAAGTCCCCGCAGTCAGGAAGAGCTTCAAAGTCTGAAGTGTGGCCAAATCAACAAACAAAAGGCTTAGAGGATGCCTTGATGTGGGATCTCAGGATCTGAGTCCTGAGGTG